TAAATTTAGCGGTATCTGCAAGTGGATACTGGCAGCATCAAATGCACACGTATTGAGTTCGATTCCACTCGCGACACTCAGATTTTATACCTTCTGTGTACAGTCTGTTTCACACTTGTTAATGTTTTGTTTGTAGAATTTCATTGGAACTGGTGATTACGTCGGTGATGATTAATTATTTACCTTCTAATTCCTTCTATGTCCTTGTAGTCTTTTACTTTGTTTGCTTAAGATGTCCTACGGTTTGCATTTTTTGTTGTTTGTGTGCAAATTCGGTTCGTATCAGTCCAATATAAATCTCATTTTATCGATCTTATCGATGTTTCACAAGCGTCTGATGCCAGTCAAGGAAAACAGTTTTCTTGGTATTGATTTAATATTATCTTATAATATATATTTACGTGTTGTTTTCGGTAAGGTGTAATATAATCTGTGACTTTCGGGGAGTGAATAATTTTGTGTTCTTTATTGTTGATCACAGTTAAACCAGTTTTGACTTCCGTTATTAATTTCGTTCACTGTCTCTCCAGGTAACATCACCAATTCGCTGTAGAGAAAGAATGATGCTACGAACATCTCCTTGGTTGTCAGTCAAGCCACTCGCGAATGCAAGACTGCCTCATCTGCTTGCGTCTGATGATTCTGCCGTGGTGATACAGCCCTGTACTCTCAGACTTGGAACCTCCACAACGTATCTACCAGACAGATCACTTTCCAGGTGTTTCGACTACCAGAAACAAGTTCCTGTGCTATTCCATGGCTCGTTATTCAACACACTGGGAACCATCCTACTGTATCTGGTGAGATCCTTCCCCACTGAATGTAACAAACATTTTCTACTCCTATGTTCCATGTTGCAAATTCTTGTACCTGAAGTGACGATAGGTAATGGTACCTTATTTAAGAGTTGTATATTTGAGACGCTAATTATAGCCGTCTTAATAACATTATTTTTTGTTGGGCAAGGCCGTGGTCTAGGCAACACGTAGTTTTCCTCTGTGGGCTTCCCCGGTTTCTCCGTGGCAACAATTACTCCATTCACACACAGACGAAGGCAATGGCAAACCACTTCTGGATCATCTGCCAAGAACGTATATGAACAGGTCCCAGTCCGAGAAAAGGATGGAAGGATCCTGTTCATATGGACCTGTCGTCAGACAGAACACTAAAAAAAATCTCGTTTATCCACTCCGTGTAATTGTTGGTTGTCTGTTTCGCCTGAGAGACAGGCCACTACGTTTGCAAGATATCGAATTACTTAGATGCGATTTATTGAAATAAATGTTTGTGGTAAGAATGTTAAAATCGATATATTTATCGAGAAATGTTTGGTGTTAGGTTATTAATCACTCCATGAAACTGTAAAAAGACTGTAATTTTATAGGTAACTTCATTGAAAGCATAGAATGTGAAATGACGAGGTAAGGAGTCAGTGAGATTCAGTAAAAATGTATGAACAAAGGAAAATAAGAATGTAAAAATGATGGAAAATGTTAGATGGCGGTAAATGGTAAGGAAATGCTTTAAAAAGAATATGTCTGATTTTAGAAAGAATGGAAACAAATCTGGCGTATAGAAACGTCCATTGTGTTTCAGTTCCCAGCTCGCTTTTTTTTTTTTCCGGTTCCGTTTTGCAATTTTCACGGTGGAAAACTGTGACAAATCGCTGTTCGTGTCTGCTCTCACAGGTGGAATAAAATCATCCAAATCTTTCATGCCCGTTTATCAGAGCGCAGCCCTCTTAGACTCTGCCGATCGCTGTATTTTATTATGCTGTTTGTTTCCGAATGCAGGTGTTCCTCGGTGACATGTACAAATCGAATAAACTCGTCAGTAACAGACAAGTATCGGTATTTTTGTCCATACTCTCAGATGTTTTAACAGAAGTGATTTTTGCGGATGTTTATACACGCGTCCACTATATATGAACCTAGCAAAATGTTTGCTTGAATTTTTCTGTACGTGGCGGTGGAAATTTTATGACTGTTATCATTTCCCTACTAATTTTCTTGCGTTATTTTTAATTAATTATTTTTTATTACATTTGTGGCGATATCTTCTGTCTTGTCACTTTAATTTTCCTACTGCTCGTTGAATAATTTTTGAATATTTAGAGCATTTATTAAGGGATAAATTACTTCTGTTCTTAGATTTGGCGGACTCAAAATGGACAAAATGTTAGGAAACCGGGCAGTTAACTGATGAATCAGGTTTCTCTGGACTGAATCGAAACTATATTCAAATATACTTACAAATAAACTTAACAAAAAGCGAAAACAATCTTAGAACTTGCATTTGAAGGGTAAGAAATTCCATTAATGCTGAATTTGTACTTCAAGAAATGAATCCGCTATGTCGTAATCCATGAAGAAGAAAAAATCGATATGAATCCAAAGAAAAGACAATCCACTCTTCAAGTGTGTGTTCTATTAATGGATTATAAGAACACTTCTGACTGTCAGCAGTCAAGTAGGGCGCTACCTTGTCTAACATACCATCGAGTATCAAAAGTCTTATCTTGTTTTTATTCAAACACGTGGGTGCAGTTGACAAGCCCCGATGATATTTTAAATTTAAGGCGTTTTTACATTTGTGTCTGTGGTTTCGTATCTCATTGTTCGATGCTCGTAACTAGCTGCTTGGCGTATCTCACCGCTTCTCACTAGAGTGGTGGCACAGACGTAAGAACTTGGCATATGCAAATTATATTCCTCATTCCCCGCCCATTGGCCTGACCACGCGACTGGCCAAAGGAAAAGAATCAGTTATCACGTGCCACAGGTGGGTACAGTGGAATTTCAAGCGGAGAAAGTGCAAATCAGGCTAACTAAGCGGTAGAAGGTAGGAGAGACAACAGTGACAAAGAAGATGCCTATTATTCGTTTATTTAAGTACTGACAGATGTAAAAGACTTTTTTTTAGCAGAAAATATTAACTTTTTTATGTTTCTCGAAGGACGTGGCTGATAAAGGGCAAACGCGTTTGTCAAAGATTTATGAAACTTTATTAAATTTAATTTATTCCGTCTCCAATTTTTGAACGCGAGACGGAAGAACGCAAAGCAAACAGATGAAGACGAGATGCTGTAGATCAATACATCCCTCGCCTGCTCATGTGTTCCCCCGTCTATACCCCGTCTGACCAAGGAGTGCCTGAAGTGAAATTAGGAAACTTTTATTGACTGACGACGTAAGTTAGACAGCTATAGATCATTGCGCATTGCAGCCTCTCCCATGTCTTTTCTTATCCCCCTGTACAGTCTTTGTAGGTTGTTTATATTCACGAGGCCCCCCCCCCCCCGGCACTCCTTGGTCAGACGGGTTATATGTAAATGTTAATTTTCCGTTACCTGACACAATTTGTTTTATGCCTGTCGTGTCCAAATTTGGTTACTTTGCATCTGTTACCGCTTACATACACATTTAACAGTGCTGAATAATTTTTTTTTGGATGCAGTTCGTAATTATTCTATTCCATGATTTGTTAACTAATTTCAGGGAGTAAGCTGATTTATTTGTTTTCCACCAAGGGAAAGAAGCTTTCCAATTACTGATGGCTTACACAGTTTAATACAACATAATTGCTGTACGGATGCACGACAACAAAATAATTACGTATTTATAAACACAGTACATGTAAAATAACGTATAAACGCACAAATTACGAAAAGACACGTAATTGCCATAAACATCAGTCGCTCAACACGTTTTAGGACGTAAACTTGATCTTCAGTGACCAAATATTGAGCAGATGACGGTCTTAAATCAAATTCTGGTTAGAAGATGGCTGTCTTTTGGGCTGTAGCGCCGTGCAGTGCCATCATCAGGACATCTCCCTGATGATGGAGGCAGCAAGGACCTCCGAAACGTTGGTAAACTTCCGCCAGACTACAGGGCGCTACAGCCGAGAAGACAACCATCTTCGGACTCATCACCGTAAAAACCTCAGACCCTGCCAATTTCTGAATACTTCACTGCATTACATTACATTTCATTACGCGTTCTAAAGAATGACAAGCTCCTAAACTTTAATGTTTTTGGAATGTGATAAGAGAAGAGCTTTCGAGTGTGTAAATAACCTTTTATTATTATTATTATTATTATTTAATTGTTCAAGGAATGCACTGTCATCTAATACGCCATATACAGTTTTATAAAGGAAGGCCTTTTCACTGTTAGCAACATAGTAGCCAGATTTATATAATTAATTTCAGTAATGTTATATATGGTTCTTTATTTTGATAAGCAGATATATATATGGGGTTTCTATAATACAGATATTTTAGGTACCTCTTCTTTTCTATTGGTTCTGATATGATTTATGGACGGAGACTCGCTGAGTCAATAATTACTCGCTGTTTATGGAACCCAAAGGTCCCTTACCTTGTTCACGGGAGCCTAATTTATACCCCATCTTATCCTAATCTGGATTGTTTTTTAATCTGTTGGCTTATAAGATGTACTGTCATGTTACCAGTATCTTATCTGTCACTTGAACGGTAGTAAAATACTATATTTTATTTAAATAGCTCTGTTCTGGATATGTTATAAAATGTGATAAGATAGAACAACAAATACTTAATTTTTAATTGTTTTCTTTAGAGACATGTCTTTGGTTTGTATATCGGAAAAAGACGATGAAGTCTTTCAGAGCAAATTGTCATGTTCAGACCAGATGGCATTCCTCAGGTCAGAGATAGTAGATATGACTATCGGAGATTTGATTTCTAATCCGCCAAACGAATGCCTACAACATGACGTGTTCTTCATTTCAGTGTCTTGTCTTGTCGACACTTATGACTAAAATGAGAATGTTTATGTCCACATGACAGTCTCGTTAGTATATTAGAGCACCCAAATACAATTATTAAATTCAGATTTGATTGATTCTTGTTCGTCGCCCTGCGTCATATTGTAAAACAGCAGGTTCGTATTTAATGTGTGACGGACAGAACTGATTTCTGTCCTTGCTAATAGCGACTGGTATGTTCCCCCTTACAGGCACGGCCCATGTTGATACCTGGTGACGTCATCACAAGGGGGCTGTTCACCTCCGACACTTCACGCTGACAGGTAAGTCTGAGCTCCAACCTCTGCGCTGTGTCATGTTATCGCAGTGAATCGCTCCATCACACTGTGATATTTAGACGAGCAACTCCTGGAAGCTATTTGTTTGAAGTGATTAGCTTCAAGTTCAGGGAAATAACCCTGGTATTCATTGGATAGGGGCCTGGGCAGACCATAGAGGCAGATATATATTTATATGAAGTCTTAAAGGACTAGTGGTAACTATATGTACCACCTGGTTTAACAGTCAGTAACTCTTCGTTTTGTATTTATGTATTCCGTGTAATTCTCGCTGTAAACAACGATTATTTCCTTAAACAGCGTTAACTAGTTCAATTTTGCAACGGTGAAGAGCTGTGTTTTCTTTGAGGTACGGACTAGATTATTAAAATATATTTATATGAGCTTCATGCTTTAGTGTTGTTTTGATACGCTGTAAGATTCCGTTGTCAAGGGAACTGACAACCGTAGCGTTTCCTCCGTTATGGAACGGTAAAAAAAAAATCAGATCATCTTCTGGTACGTCTGAAGAATTTGACGATTTCTTTTGTGTTGGTTTGATTCATTGAAAGTCACATCAGTTCAACTTAAAGTGGATTGTCTCTTCAGACACTGATTTGCCGAGTGGGTTAGCGTGATATTGAGGGCAAAGGACGAATATTAGATTTTAGGTTCTTGGTGTCGTGTGGTCTCGTAGGAGGTTGGTTACCAACGCTTCCATCTGCGGGCGTTACTTTCCTCGGAAATGTTACTAAAAATATGGCAACACTGAAACAGTTGTGGGCTGGTAGTTCGGAAAATCCATGACTTGAGCCCTCGTACCCGGGGTTGATTCTCACCGTCATCCATCATTCAGAGCACAGCCGTTGGACCATCAGAATTCCCAGGGGGCGTTGAATCCACCTCGCATGTCGCAAGCCAGTAGTAAAAAATGCCTATGCCGTAGACTTTGAGTGAACTGATAGTTGGGAACAGGTTTTTATTTTCTGTAAGAGTTCTCAGAATTGAGAGTAAAATATAGAGTCTTGAGTTCTTTGTGTAGAGTTTGTTTGCTTTTTTCGTGATTTCAAAGGCTCGTCTGCATCGAGGACTATATTTGAATTGCACCCTGTTGGACATACTGTAGACATAATTCTTACGCAATTATCGTAAAGCAATGTAACTATATTTAGCATTAATATATCCGCAGCAAAAATAAGATAAATGTCTGAAAGTGTGAAATTAAGAGAACTTGGTGACGTGTACAGATCTCGTAGCAGAATGTTGGTAGGATAATGGAGGAACAAATGGTACGACGGGCTTGAACATTTAATTAAGATGAGGGACTTAAGTATACTCAGAGAATTCTGATAGGGAGACTGATTGTATAACCATTGGTTAAAACACTGAGACTTTTGGATATTGAGTTGAGACCTTTCTTTCCAGAAAACTGCGTTAAGTTAGAGTCTGCGAGGTATTAATCCTTTGAAGCCGAAGCTCGTCTAAATATTTAAGAATTCAGTCCGTACCGCAAAGAAAACATTTCACTTTACCATTACAAATATCGACTGTTTAACGCTGTTTGAGGAAGTAGTAGCTGTTTACAGTGAGAATCATACGAAACAAATAAAATACGAAATACAGTGTTACTGGTTGTTAAAGCAATTGGTACGTACAGTTACCACTAACTAGTCTTTGATGGTTAATGAGGATGGAAGGATCTAATTAGCTTTTTAATACTGCAGTGCATGCATGTGTGACTTGGTGATGACCTCATGAATTTTGTAGAAGCAGGTATCTTCTTTCCTATCCTCTGCACGACTTGCAAAGTCTTACTGCCGTAGAAAATGTACGTGACGTCACTTGTAACACAACGCAATCTCTCTGTCTCTCTGATTTAGCAGCATCCAACAATTCTGCAGTTTTTCTTCTAAAGAATTTCACCATTGCGTGTTTATTATTTTCAGTTCTGCTTTTTGATATTCCATTGTCTTAACGTAACTAAACAGGTAATTAAGCTGATGATCGCTTACCCGGTCATATTCGTCTCATAGCTAATTCTGTACCTGCCTGATTGTTATGCTTCTTAAATAACAAAATTGGAAAGTGGGAATACATGTATTCCGATTTGCTCAGTCGGTAAAATCACTCACTGGACGTGGGCCATACAGTCACGTTTCTATCTCCGGCTTGAGCAGGGATATTTTCATCTTACCACAATTTTTCTCTTCCCATCTGTGAGCCTTGGCTCATTGACTCATTGACTCTCTCATCCAAGGAGCCGGGGGCATCTTTCCCTGAGATAAAGTTGCCAGAAGCTTACCACTCAACTCCATCAAGTGCTGAAGTTAAGAATGCGTAAATCTTTGCGTATATGCTGTACACACGCCACGGTGGTCTAGCGGTTAGAACGCTGGCCTTGTAATCCTGGGGTCTCGGGTTCGATTCCCGGTGGTGCCCGAATTTATAACTTGTGTTGGGCAAGGCCGTGGTCTAGGCAACACGGAGTTTTCCTCCGGGGGCTTCCCCGGTTTCTCCATGGCATCCCAACAATTACTCCATTCACACACAGAAGAAGGCAATGGCAAACCACTTCTGGATCATCTGCCAAGAACGTATATGAACAGGTCCCAGTCCGAGAAAAGGATGGAAGGATCCTGTTCATATGGACCTGTCGTCAGACAGAACACTAAATAGTAAAATATATGCTGTACGTCTTTATTTTGTGGTATTTAGGCCCAGGGACTTGCTTTACTGTATTCAAGTGAAGGCGAATGTACTGTTCGCGACTGTAATCTTGAGACTTTGCAAGGAATGCAGGAGGTCCGAAGCTTTAAAGGCAGACCCTACTTGTCCTCCTTCCCCCAACTTCCTCGCCCCGCAAGTCTCAAGATTACAGTCGCGGACTGTACTTTAATTTTGAGATTGCCTTCCTGGTTGTCACTTGCTCCGAATCCTCAAGGTCGTTCTCCTGGCTCTTAGGAAAACGTCGACGCAGTATACAGTCATAATTAATGATCTCCATCTGCCTGCTTCCTGTAAATTACTTTATTAAACCAGCTTGTGCTGGCGTTGGTCGTTGTAGATGTGTGTCAGTACCGCGAGCAAGTTGTCGATGGGTGGGAGGAAGTTAATGTTTCCTGCCAGACTAGCACAGGAAATGTCTTCTGTTCCGACCCACCTCCCCTCGACGCCATCTTCATTTGGCCAACATAGTAACTTGTATGTCTGTCTGTCTGTGTTTTGTTTCCTGTACCATATCTCGTTTATTGTGACACGCTTTTCAGGGCTAAAATTGTGTTGGTTGAAACTGGAGATGCGAATTATTTCGCCTGTGAGGGTAGTGTTGTTGTCAAACTTTCCAGTCCCTCCATCTCTTCCTGAACATTTCCACTTCGAAGACTTCGAGTTGTGCTGAAGCTTTGTCTTAACGGCCATATTGTCTTTGTGTTGTTTTATAAGTGTTTCTCAAAGGATCCCTGTAAGAACACTACAAAGGACTGGTTATTCTCACAATAATTAAGGACGTTTTGGGTAAATACTTCGGTGTTTGTCTGTCTGTCTGGCACAGAAAAGTGGCCCATTTCCTAATCTCTTTAGTTATTATCAGACTGGTTAAACGGACGGAAAGACTAGGTTATAATTAGTTGCTAACTAAGTATGGGTGTGTAAATCCATTCATGAGCAACCGTTGCTTCCTATAGGTTGCCCTGGAAACAGCTGACTGGAGCAGGGCCCTTCTAGAGAAACCAGAGACCAGAACAAAATTAGGAAGCACTTTAAACGAGAAGAAGTCTCATTTAAATAATATACAAGATTTCAGTCCGTACCGCAAAGAAAACACAACACTTCATCATTACAAAGATCAAATGGTTAATCCTTTGACGCTCGTCTGTATAATATTTACGAATTCAGTTCGTACCGCGAAGAAAACACAACTCTTCACCATTACAAAGATCAAATGGTTAACGCTGTTCAAAGAAATAGTCACTGTCAACACTGGTAACCATACGAAACCGATCATTACAAAACACATCATTACTGACTCCGAAGACAGATGGTACATATAGTCACTACTACAATTTAAAGAGTTAATGTCTAAAAAAACATAACCGATGGATCTGGTCTTTGGCTGATGTAGTCTGCTTGTTAGCAGAACCAAATACGGACAATTATTTATAAGTTTTGTCTGAAGAATTTTATGCTAAGTTAATGTGTTACTTCGCATGAGGAACGTGGGTGGATTATAGAAACTCGAGACAGGCAAAAGCGTTAAGTTTCTCCTTTCTACACATTTCATTCGGTCGAAGGTGTATCTGTAGTGACAGCGAAGTCTACAGAGCGACTGGCATCTCGCGTTCTCGAGATCTTAATTAAAAGTATTCCTTTGTAATAACAAACGAAGGGCTTGTTATCGACCTCACAGAAGTGAAGCTCACACGTCACTAAAACAAATAACCTATAACCTGATTATCGAGGATTGGTGGTTTGTTTACCCTGGATATAATTTAATTTCGAACTATATTTCTAACAAAAGCTTCTCCACATAAGTTGGTTTTCACTAAATTTTACATGAAATTCAATGTCAATGATCCAAGACCAGATAGATCAGACCACAGGTTTTCTTTCTTTCCTGAGCAACATGATACCTTGAGAACTCTAACCAATATCGTCCTTTAGAGACCTGTAAATTCTTATCTGGTAGGAGAGCCCGAAACTAGTTACCAAAACCTGCAATTGGATACTATACGTAGCCAGTTGAAGCCAGTTCCGGAACACAACATGTTATTAACCCTGCGCTCAGCGCCCTAGCTGATTGACTACTTCATAGTACAGTCAGTAAAGTGGCTAGCTGCAGGCTCGGCAGCCAACTTTCGATTCTCGGTAAAAACAGGGACTTTATGTTCTGAAACATTTTCAAATCGACTCACATCTCGTCCAGGCCACTCTGTAAGTTTTATCCTTAGGATAAAACAACCGTAGCTCGAAGCAGTAATTTGTTTATTCGTTTTGTGGGTTGTGACGTA